TATCTATCTATCTATCTATCTATCTATCTATCTATCTATCTATCTATATTACACAAATAACCGGGCAAAAAGAACAAAATTATAGGAACCAGAAATTACTTTGCTCAGTAATACCCTAAATGTAAATGATCGTAGCTCATCAACTAGAAGATGAAGACTGTCAGATAACAAGAAAAGCTTCAATTATTTTCTACAAGAAACCAACCTTACTAGCATCTTTAATATATTAGTTATTATTAAGCTGCTTCTTTAAATCAACTAAGCAGACCCTTCTTGGGTGGTAGTACATGGGAAATCCTTTAGAAATATTAAATCCCACATTGCACAGCAAATAAGAGAAATATTTTAAGCGACAGTGTCTAAAGGTCACTGCATTTCGTCCTTAAGTTTCTACAGTCCCTTGAGGAATCTTTGCTGTGTTGACCCTGAAGATGGAGACGTTCTTGTTTGACTCCATGTTTAGCACACTCTTCTCTGTGTTCTTGATGGCAATGAAGAGAAAATAATCATAAACTTTGGAAAGTACCCCAGAAGTGATCATCAAACCCTTGGAGACTGGAGCCTGCATGGGGAACTCCTAGACAGGTGTCCACGAAGAGCTGGCAGCAAAGACAGTATGAGGTCAACAAGGCAGAATCTAGCAAGTCCCAGAAGCAAAGGGGAGCAGTGGTCTAAGCAGGTTCTGGCTTTCCTTCGGAGCTGATTGACTACAGAGCCTCTGGGTGCCGCCATGTGCACAGGTACAGCCAGTTGCTTCTTCAGTCTACAAGAGGCAATACTTCTGGTTCCTTCTTGTAGGGTCCGATGCTTGAGTTCTACTCTTTTGGATTCAGGAAATTCCAGTAGGCAAGGCTGAGGACACATGGCTCAAGATCCCACAAAAACACCAGCCCCGAGGGGGTTTTCTCGGGTCCAGCTTTGTCTACTCTCCAAAGATAGTTTGTGATAGATACATGGTGCCTATTTCTTGTGGCAACAGCCATATTGATTGCTGTGTGTGGTTTTGGGCACATGCATGTTGGCTGGAGTGTGTGCATGTGTGTCCACAGGGCAGACCACAGGGCAACCCTAAGTGTCATTCTTAAGACAATGTCCATTTTATTTATTTATTTATTCATTTATTTATTTCTCAATCAGTGTTTCTCACTGGCCTGGAGCTAATGACTTAGGCAAGGTTGACTGGTCACCATGCCCCAGGGATCAACTGGATTCTACCTTCTACCTTCACATAGAACAATTCATTTTCCCTGAGTTCTGGAGATGGAACTCAGAACCATCTCCCCAGCTGCTGGAACATCTCAATGATTTTAAGGTTAGTAGTGAAGACAACATGTCCTCTTCACCATAGAGAACCCCACGGGATCAGGGAACAAGACAGGAACAAAACAATGTGGTTTGATGGCATTCAGGAGGGTGGAATTCTGGGTGGTCAGTCAACACTAGATACACTTTACTACTTCTGATTTTTGAAAGGAAGAAGCACAAAAATGGAAAAACATGTTGGGAATATTTAGATATTCTCCCTAATATGTCATGAAATAGTCTAGCTTTTGCACCGGAAGTTTTCCTTTAAAGGCATGAGGAGGAATCTGGTTTTCTCCAGTTGACGGGAGCACCAGGTCAGAGAGGCACAAGCTGCCCAGAGCCAGGGCTGCCCCTGACTGGCTTCCTGGAGTGCCCGGACCCAGCTAAATCTCCGCACTTGGATGCACTCCATTGCCAGGAGAGAGGAAAACATCCCCTTTGCTTTCCTTTCTCTTCCTTCCAAAGGCCAAACATGCTATCTTTGGATGGGTTTCAACCCTGCTTTCATTCATTAAAAAGTGAAACAAAATCGCCACTGACTTCCTTGACAGCAGTCAGGTTTCACTGGGTCTTCAATGCCTGCCAAGCGGCATAAGTTCCATTCAACCCAGTCACGGTCCTTGGAGCCCTGTGTGTGTGGAGCCCATCCAAGCACAGTAGTGATAATGACTCGGGACCGGAGGGCGTGGGGGGGGATAACACCAGTGTACTGGCGCGTGGGAAGTCTGAACTACAAACTTCAAAAGGAATCATCAGGGAAGAGGGCCCAAATTAGGGGGGTTTCGGTTCCTGCAAGGTTAGAACGCTATCAACATTTTTTTTTTTATCTTTAGCATAGTGTCTAGATCTTGCAAACAAGAAGTATTCTTTTAAGAGTCTATGCATTGTTTTTTAAAACCAAAGAGAGCAGCAATAGGCAAACACAGAGAAAAACCTCGAAATGGAAACACAGCAGAATCCTCCAAGCTTAAAATATGTTTTATTTTTATTTATTAAAAGAAAATACATCTCTTAAAGGCGGGGCAGGATGTGGAGGGTGTATGACCTGGGTGTGGTGAGGAGAAAATTCTGAGTTGTGAGATTGTTTCTTCCCGTTGTATTGTTGAAGAGAGAAAAGCTGAATGAAAACACATGTCCTCAAGAAGTGTCTTGCTGTAAATTAATTAAATATCTCTTTCCAGTTGTCATTTTGTTGGCTGAATAGGGTCTGGGTTAGTTGTGACCACAGTCAGTCTTGTGACAAAGTCTTGGGTCCTGGGGCTAGGGCATGGAGTTGGGACACTGGAGCTGGGTTGGGGTGTTGGGGTGGGGCATGGGAGTTGAAACAGGGGTTCTGGGGCACAGAGACTTGAGCAAGGGCGCTGGGTCATAGGGGCTAGTGGGAGCCTGGTGATAGCTCTCTGCCAGAACTGGACTCTCTGTTGACCACATGAGATCTGTTTTGGAAATCCACCCTTGGAGTTACATATTATTGCCTTCACAGATAAAGCTGTGTAGCATTATACAAGTTACTTGGTCTCTCTGGGTTTTTATATCTTCATATACAAAGTGTCATAGAACAATTGTCTCTGTCCTAGATGACAAAGAGTCTCAAGACAGAGAGATGGCACAGCAGACAAGAGTGATTGCTGGATCAGTCAGTGTTCAAACCCCAGTACCTGACTAACCCAAATAAAATTAGGTATCCTCCTTGATCGGTCCAAAATGGGACCATCCTGTTTTCATGCCCAAGGTCCATATTACCCTGGGAGGATGGCACACTGTTCCCCTTACTGAAAACCGCAGAGGACAATGGCCCTGGGTACCCGATTTGTCAGCATCACTTTGTCTCCAAGACATCACTCGCTGAGCTTTATTGAGAGTGTAGTGGCTCCGCCCTTGCTCCAGCCCTCTCCTCTGGAAGCTGCTGAGAACCCCGGTTCACCTCTTCTATTGTTCTTTTCCTCTCCGATTCCAACGAATGTCCCAAGTTTACTTCCGAGTCCATTTTGAAAGTCTTTTACCTATGAGACCAAATCATGGCAAGGGTGCCCTTGCTTCCTGACGAGATAGGAAATGTTGAAGGGATTATTAGGCGTTCCCCTTCATCTGTGTCTTTTGCTCTCCCTAGAGGCTGAGTCCTCCTCCCTGGATTTCTTGCAGACAATATGGTATCATGAAGTAATGCGGGGTAGTGGCTGCTGGGGCAGATGCTGGGCCTTGGAAGGGAAGGGCCATGTCTGTGGCTTTGTAGAGGGTGGAGTGCTCTGAAAATTTTGCTCCTAGTTTCTAAATGTAGGGTCTTCAACATCTCATCATACTCATAAAGGAGCCATTCATCCAGAAAGCAATTATGGTGGTTGTTGTTTTTTTTAATGACCAGTTTATAAGGCACCAAACTGTAACCAATTGCCTTGGATTTCCTTAGAAATTCATTTGTTTAAAACAATGAAGAGAGAAATGAAGAGATCACCATTCAAAACAGATTTCCTGAGTTTTTAGAAGTTCTGAATAGAAGTTGATTTCTGTGGGAGAAACCGCTGGCTTCAGGACACATTGAGGTTGACGTCATTTCTCTTCAACGCAATGCCCATTGCACCAGAAGTCTCTTTATCCCCTTAGTTGTAATTTCTCATATTGTAAATGCTAGGAATAAGCATTCTATTTATATTAGAGTGTTTTATGCTTTATTAGGTATGATATGCTCATACTAAACAGGTTTTTTTATTATTTATTTCAAAGTTTCTTTGCATATGAAAGTCACTCTGCAGTGGGTAGTAGTCTTTGGACAGAATAAAATCTCAAGCCCAGTCTTTATCCTCTTAGGACAAGGATGACTGACCACAGAGACCCCTGAACAGCAGGGGAAAGGACTTCCTGTCTGTGACATAAAACAGGTGATGTAAATGGGAATGGCAGTGGCAGAGAGACAGCTCAGCAGGAGCAACCATTGCAAGTCAAACCAGAGAGAGAGTCCAGTCCCAAGAACCAGTGGTAGAAGGGGAGAACTGACTACTGAACGCTGGGCTCTGACCTCCACATAGTGCCCCCAACATAATATCCATAACAATAATAATTGCAGCAATAAGAGTATAAAAAACATGGAAAGGGTAGCCACTGACCTGTGAGCAGGAAGCTGCTGGGCGCCAGTTTGGATCAGGGAGCCTTTCCTAAGGAGGCCAGGGCACAGAAAGACGCCGACACTTGGACAGTGGCCTCATCTCAGCGCACAAAACATGATCTCTGTGAGGCAACTTGTATGTAAATGAGTATAATGATAACACCATATCGTGCAGCTGAGCACTCAAGTAACAGGTAAATGTGTCATGTGACCCAGTATGTTAAGCATCATTAGCTTGGGCCAAGTACTGGCAACACTAGAAGGTTGACAGGAATGTTGTCTTCTGTGTCGAAGCCTGTAAACTCTGCAAGTGTCACGAATGTGCAAGTAATTGTAAAGCTGGCAGAAGGAAATGGTTCTGGTTCCTCTTGGAACCCTACACTTCTAACTAGAGACCTGGGAAGCACTGCACTGCGGAAGCCAGCAGAGAGTTCTGACGCAGCAGTACTGGGTCCAGACTTCCCCGTGCCCTGTCACTCTAGCGACATTATGCAGTCTGGGGTGTGAGTTTCCTAGGAGACAGCTTGTGCCCTCTGTCAGTGCTCTTCTGCTGGGTGAAATTCGCTCATTCTGCCTTAGAATCCTTTCTAGCCAGAAGCACCGCATCTTCACGGCTGGAACGGAAGGAGTACTTGCCACCTCGGAACGAAGCGTGAACGCTTTCTCTAACTTTTTCGAATCTTCTGGTGTGGGAGAGATAGGTGATGTGCTCTGAACGTGAAGTATCTCCCACAGACTCTTATATTTGAAACCTGGTCTCCAGTGGGTATGGTTGGGAGTCGCTGTCGAAACCTTAGGAGGTGGAGCCTGACACAGAGTGCGTGAACAGCTGGAGGTGGGCCTTGTGTTTCATAGCCAGATCCCACTTCCTGTCCTTTGTCTCTTGACTGAGCATGCGTTGTGATCCCCCATTCCATGCCGCATCTTCCCTGGCACATTGGGCTATATCTTCTCCAACTGTGATGAAAAGGAATCCTTTCCCCCTTTAGTTGGCTTTGTCAAGGCAATAAGGAAATTAAAAACTGCAATCCCCAAAGCATGTAGGCACCACTGAATCCATGCTTTCCTGGGAGCTCTGCAGAAGCTGTATTAAGACACCCCCCCCCAAAAAAAAACTTCTGTGGCCAAAAATCCCAGAAAACCTTGAGATATATAAATGAAGTATTTCCTTTCTGCAAGGCTGTTAAAGACTCCCACAATGCATTGCTTTCCTTCCCAATCTGTAGGGAAGACATGGAGGACACAGTCTACATGTCTGGGAACACCTTCTCCATGGGACCGAATTCTCCCGAAAACAGCCTTCCATGAAACATACTCTGGAAAACACCCATCCTGGTGTATTACCGTCAATCTACAAGGAAACTGAAGTACTGTCTGCCATATTTCAAATGAGCCCAGCCGGAACAAGGACGGGCTAAGCATCTGATGGTGGACAGCAATGGTTGTTATCCATGGAGAGCGGTGGGTTCGGAGCGTCTCATCCACGGCAGTACACTAGTTAACCCACTCACAACGAATGAGTGGAGACTTCAGGAAACCCACTGGGTCCTGTCAACTATTTGAATCATGCTATTAAGAAAGCAGCACCAATGTGTCTGAGATTGCATCAGAGGAGCACACGTGAATGGGAGATCCTTCCTCTCTTTTGTGTGTTGAGATTTTCTTACACCGGCCTCTTTCACCTTCATTTCCTGTTTTCTTCAGAATGAGATGGTTTCGCTGTTTGGATGTGATTTTTTTTCATAACTTTCTTTTTTTTTTTTTCACTTACAAGCAGTTACAAACCTCCCAGCCTTGACCCATGTTTCCCAGCAAGCTCCTCCTGTGCCTCAGGATACTCTGTGACTTGGACAGACGGACAGACAGACAGGCAGACAGCATCTTCCCTCCTCAAGCATTAAGTCCTACGTTGTAAAGTGTCTATATGGGGACATTTCTCTGTGATGAGAAAACTGCCTATTTAAAACTGATGAATAAGCCACTGTGGTGGAAGGTTCACGTGCAGACCCGGGGTGGGAGACTGTTGCTGTAGATTCCCCTCAAAAGAACATTTTATTGTGCGCTGAGAACTTTCCCGAAGGGCAGTTCTTGGAGACAACACGCCATGTGCCTGTTCCAGCTGTTAAGGTAAGGCAGCATGAGAGGAGGGGAACATAACCAAGTAGCTCATGCTGAGTAGCCTTCCAGTCAATCAGTTTGATTATTGATCCCCGATAACATTATTTATCCCATAGGCCAGTATTTCAGGCATTGTCCATAGGAACGTAAATATTAGGGCCATGGTAGGAGGTTTCCTTCCTCTTGGTTTAAGTTCGAAGTCAGTAGACACCTGAAATATGCCAATTAACAATGCTGGGGGAGTAGTGGAGAAGGTGGATTTGGGGTCTCAGTCTCCCAGGAGATCTTTCTCATGCCTGGCTCTTTCCTGGCAGTGAGAGGTTTGCTCTCGGGCTTCCCAAGGCCTCACATCCTTCTTAGGGCTTCAGGTGTCTTCTGGGAATGAACGGAGTGAGGCAGTGGCTGCTGTAACTCCTGTAGCTGCTGCGTTCCCATTACTTTCTTGGTTCTCACCATGTCTGCACTGAGCGGACCCCTCAGCATTGGTGCAGACGAAGAGTAGAAAGCTCAGAACACTTGGGTGTGTCTCAGCATCATGGGAGTCCACTTTACGATCTTCCAGACTCTGCCTCTTGCAGCAACTTTGTGCCTCGACTATGGTGTGGCTGTGAGCAGTGATAGAGTCACCCCAGTGGGCTGAGTCGTGCCCCATTCAGGGTCAAAGAGACAAAGATGCTATGTGGTACTAGATTTACTTCAGAAAACTAAGGAACTACACAACGTAGATGTCCCATTTGCATTATTTTGCTGTGTTGACATCACGACCAAAAACAGTTTGGGAAGGAAAGGATTTGCCTCAGTTTCCAATCCATCATGAAGAGAAGTTGAACTCGAGCTGGAAACCTGGAGGCAGGAACTGGAGTAGCGACCATGGAGGAACACTGCTTACTGACTTGCTTTCCCTGGCTTTCTCAGCCTGCTTCATTATTCAGACTAAGACCATCTAACCAGGGGTGGCATCACTTACAGTGAGCTTAGTCTCCTCGCCACATCACTCACAAATTAAGAAAAGGTCCCATGAACTTGCTTATAGGCTAGTCTAATGCAGGCAGTTCCCCAGCTGAGGTTCCCTCTTGCAAGGCGACTCTATAACAATTTGACAAGAATTAACATGAATTCAGTTCCCTTTGAAGCCACAAAACATCCAGCCTAACAATTTCACATGAGCATAATGTTCAACCATAAGAGAAACTTCTTCATCTGGTAGAATTAGGTTTGATAATTTGCTGATTAATAGAAAAATTCAGATAATCCTGGTAACCATAGAAATGAAAATTCTGCGTTAAACTTCATTTTCTCTGTCAGCCTGAGTAGATCACATTTGAGGTATGATAGATTTTTTTTTTTCCCTAAGTAGGACCTCTGTCGTGCAATCCTTGTTTTGGGTATCAAGAAAAATGAAAACTCTGTGTTTTATCTCATTAGTGTCAAAACTTTCAAATAATACTTGTTAAATCTGCTTCCTCAGCTGGCCCTCCAGCTGTGTCTGAAAGTGGGCCATTTCTCAGCCTCTCTCCCTCTTCTTCAGGCCTAGATTCTAGCCTTTGTCTCCGCAGGCTCTTATCCACCTGGAAGCCCGTGGTTATGTGAACGGCAGGTAGGGAAGGTTATTCTGCCCGTGTCTTGCCTCGTTGTGTAGGATCAGGGTGTTCCTCTCTCAGGTTCCACAATTGCCTTCTTAAGGCCCCCTAAGGGCCCTCAATTCCAATCATCTCTCCTAGTATTCTCTCCCTACATGTCCTTCTAATTTCTCCTGTTCCCATCCCCCATCTGGCCCCATTCCATCCACAAAATCTATTCTCTTTTCCTTCCTAGGAATATCCATACAACTACCTTGAGCCCTTCTTGCTGCTTACCCTCTCTGGGTCTGTGGGTTGTAGCATGATCGTCCTTTATTCAACAGCAAATGTTCACTTATACATGAGTACATACCATGTTTGTCTTTCTGGACCTGGGTTACATCATTCAGAATGATTTATTTTCTCTTCCATTCATTTAACTGCAAGTTTCATGATGCCACTTTTTTTAATTAGTTGAGTAATGATCCATTTGTAAATATACTACATGTTTTTTTATCCATTCTTCTGTTGAGTGACATCTAGGTTATTTCCACCTTCTGGCTATTATGAATAAAGTCACAATGAACACAGCTGAACAGGCATTCTTGTGATAGGATAGAGTGTCCTTTGGGTATATGTATAAGAGTAGTATAGCTGGGTCTTGAGGTATATTGAATCCCAACTTTATGAGGAACTGCATACTGATTTCCATAGTGGCTATAAAAGTTTCCACTCCCACCAGCAATGGAGGAGTGTTCCTCTTGCTCCACATCCTCACCAGCATGCCAATACCATGTGGTTTTTATTACTATAACTCTGCATTAGTGATACCTCCAACAATTCCTTTAATGTTCAGGATTGTTTTAACTAACTTGAGTAATTTGTTTTTCCATATCAGTTTGAGCATTGTTCTTTCAAAGTCTTTAAAGAATTTGGTTGGAATTTTGATGGGGATTGCACTGAATCTGTAGATTGCTTTTGGGAGGACTTTCATTTTTACAATATTAATCCTAATGCTCCATAAGCATGGAAGATTTTTCTATCTTCTGATATCTTCACCCATTTATTTCATCAGCAACTAGAAGCTTTGTCATATAAGTCTTTCAATTGCTTTTTTAGAGTTATACCAAAATATTTTGTGTTATTCATGGTTTCTATGAAGGGTATTGGTTCCCTGATTTCTTTCTCAGCCCATAAATGAATTTGGCAATTGATGTGGGATTCCCTTCTGAATGCTGTGAATATATTTTATTGCTATTGGCTAATAAAGAAGCTGATTTTAGCCAATGGCTTAACAAAGTAAAGTTAGGTGGAAAATCGGAGCAGAGATGTAGAGAGTGAGTAGGCAGAGTCAAAGAGATACCATGTAGCTGCTGAAAGAGACAGACACTAGATAGAACCATACCAGTAGGGCACAGCCATGTGATAATACATTAATTAATAGAAATTGGTTAATTTAACATATAAGAGCTAGTTAGAAATATGCTAGTGTTGCAATTAGTATAGTTTCTGTGTGATTATTTTGGGTCTGAGTAGTTGGGAACAAACAGTCTCCATCTATAACTTGGCATGCCCACATAGGATCTCTATACTCACATAAAATCCGAGAGGCTTAAAAAGGAATTCTAGACACAAAAGAACAGAGTTTAGTGCAGCTTCTTGGTAGCCACATATTTTTCAGATGGACTCTGTTTCCTGGTGGCGAGCATGGGTGCAGCTCCTTTTGGAGAAATAGTCTTGACTCAGCATTAGAAGGAGAGAAAGCTTCCTGGTTTATACTGGGGCAGGAATGGTTCTGGCTTTTTCAAGAGGCCAAGCACTTCAATGGGGTCTATTATCAGTGTGTTACAAATTGCTTAATGATAACATAGACCCACTGTGACCCTGGAGCTGGGGCGATTTGCATGGCTCTCAGAGGCAGTGAACATGCTTCTGCCATGTTGGACTGGGTGGAGCAAGCAGAAAGGGCCCTGGAGTTGGTCCTAGTCACACATGTTTAGCATTTAAAACAAACAAAAAATAAGCACTCATGGTCAGAAAACAATTACAGATATGCGCACAATAAAGATAAATTCAGATGGAAAAGGCATCTGAATGGGTCACAGTGTTGGATAAATGTACATAGGCTTGAAAGAGAGAGAGCAAAAAGAACATAGACAGTTATAAGAGAGTACAAACAGTCATAGATTAAAGGAGTAAAGATAATAAAATAAATATTAAACTTGTAGAGAAAATAATAGAGTAAGAAATATAAGTCACATAAAGATGGAAAATACACAGAGAGACTGGATTATGTATATTATTATGTTTTCTTTGAATTTTTAATTATGAATGAACTAACTACAGAGAGACATCTCATTGTACAGGTTGCTAAGCTAAACCAACATGTATTTTAAAGGTATCTTGACTTCAAAATTTGAGTCTAAGGATATGTTGCTTCAAAAAAAGAGGCTCTGCTTTTGTTTCCAAAGAGGATGAGAACCTATGGATTCCTTCCAGACTAATGTGGCTTGATGGACCAAGACTCCCCCTCCAAAAGGTCTCCATGAAACCCCCCAAAATACTCTCCTCAACAAAAAGCAGGAAGCAGTTTGGAGAGAACTCTGCCCAAATTTCTAAATATTGTTTATAAATGTTTGTTTTCATTTAAAGGGGGATATGCTGTAAAGATGAATACTTTGCGTTGGTATGAATCTTGGTTTATTGATACAAATTTAAGGTCAATTTTGTTATCTTGTTTAAGGTATTAATGTTTATGCAGCTCATTTAAAATGTACCATATAATTTAAAATTACAAATTAATAGATAGCTATCTATAATAGTCAAAAAGAGGAGGGACTGGATAGTCACTGAGGAAAGTGGGACATCCGAGGTTAAGATTATTATGTGGGATAGCCAGTGTGTCCTCTAGCAAATAGGGCCTTCTGCTGGAGCTGTGGGCCAGCGATTACTTTTCGAGGTAAGAAATTAGAAAGATATTTAGAAGGGCAAGTGTCAAATTTACAAGTAAAGGTTCACTTGAACGTGCATATTTTAATATAGTAATCATTTAGTTAGTTTTCAATTCCTAACAAAAACAGTTAAGATCCATTCCAATTTATCTTTTATGTAAGTGCTTGAGTGATGTTAAATAACAGCTTATTTGCAAGTATCTGCCACAGCATCTCCTCTCTGCTGAATTTATAAGCAGTGTAGGGAAATCCATTGCACCAGGATATACGTGGGTCTAAATTGTAAGGGTTTATTGTTTTTTATGTGCTATGTGGTGTCTTGGAATTCTACAGAAAAGCTTGGGATTTCACACCCAGATGACGCACTGCCATGGAGACTGCAGTTACCGTAGGGAAGAGCAGACAAAGCCATTGGTCAATGTGGAAAATGATTTTTCTTCCAACCCCAAAGAAGTCACTCTGCTGTTTTAGTACATGGAACTCTCTGCCAAAATGAAAACAAACAACAAAGAAACACCACATTGTTCTGCTCCTTCCTTTATCTTCCTTCTCGGCTCTTCTTTTGGTACCGATTTTCTATACAATTCATGTGGTAAATTGATGTTTGAGGAAGAAAAGTAATACCCTTTGACGTTCCTTTAAGAAAGCCCGACATATGTACACAGTCAGGATGAGTGAGAAAGGCTGAGCCCCACATGGTCTCTTCCAGTCCAGACCCCTTCATGTCCCCTTGACAGACCAAGCCCTAATTAAAATACACTTTGAAATAAGAATGACATGGACCAAAAGAAGTGTTGTCTGCGCATCCTAAGCGGTCAGTCAGCCATTTCTGTTTCCATAGTGTCGCTGAGCAAGAAAGCCCTTTGCTGGTGTGCCCTTCTGGAGAGAGGAGAAGTGGTCGACGGACCCCTCCCTGCTGCTCGGTCCTGAGGTGATGCTCAGCCATGGAGCTCGCAGGGCAGATACCATTCCAGCCTGCAGTCATGCAGACCTTCCTGCCTCCAACGGGAGTCGGGACCTCAGGAAGTCAGGGGCAGAGCTCGCAGGGAAGCAACTCCTCTTAGGAGAGACCAGAATGCCTCCTTTTCACTCACACGTCTTCCCTTTGCTGTGAAACTCGGTGGAGAGGAACGCGATTCTGTTTTCAGCCATTTATGCATGGTGACCCTGGTCAGCTTCCTGGGCCCATCTTCACATGGCCTTTCTTCTGCTTGGTTCACATCCTTTCCCAGGGTCATTAGAAGTCAAGCTTGAATTCCCCTTTTGAATTTTCTCTCTCCCAGCCATCTAAGTTGTTCCCACAGTAACTAGCGCTTATTTGATCCATCGTTCTCGGCCCACCGTGTTTCCAGTTGCTCTGTCCATCTTTTATTTTCCTTTTATCCCGAGGCGAGCTACATCACCACCACCACCATGCATGCTTAGTGCTCAGATACGTGTCCTTCAGGTTGGGTCTTCTCACATCACATCAGACAGTCAAGACACTCCCCCACAGACATGGCCATAGGCCAGCCTGATCTAGACAGTCCCTCACTGAGACTCTTCCCAGTTGATTCTAGGTGTGTCAAGTTGACAAATAAAACCACCTGTCCCCAGAGAGGTCCTAAAGCATGTTGGTCAAGGCAAACTGTTTTCCTTTCTCCATTTCATATCTGGTTCTTGGCTTCAGGAACAGCAAAGGCTTTGGTCGCTGTGGAAACTGGCCACTGAAGCTGTACCGAGTGAGCCAAGAAGCAAAGGCAGAGGAGGAAGAATTGGCTACACCTTCAGAGGGGCCGATGAAGCATCCTGGTACCCAGTGACTAAAATGGGTGATCCTTCTGCACAAAAGAGGGAGCTAAAAATTCTAATGGTGCCAGAAAGTGGTAGAGAAGGTTCAGCTGTCTCCCTCACCAGCCCAGGATCCAGCCAGGAGCAGGGCTCTTGTCCTGAGAAATGACAGCACGTTCAGGGTTGTGACAGGCATGGCAAATAGGCCTTCTTGGAAACTCCATGCTAATGGCCACAGGTTCAGGGTTAGCTTCTCTCTGACTCCAACAAGAAGCATCTCTCTCTCTCTTTATTTACAGCACTCACTGTAGACCAGCGCTGGCTATTTTCTTTTGGTGAGTTCTTCAGTCTTCAAGCACAGGCTGCCCGCTTCTCATCCACCCCGCCAGCCGCTAGCCTGCAGCATGACCGTTGGGTTTCAGAGCTGGTGTCAGAAGTTGGAGCCCTCCTCCTGCACTGTCTACCAGTGCCAAAACAATCAGATTAATTCGGGTACCAGCCTGCCAAGCCAGCCAGCCCGGTAAGTCTTGGAGGTATATCTAGACATTCATATGGGCTCGTTTTGTTTTTTCTCCCTGGGGGAACCTCAGGATTCTTGCCAGCCAGTCTAATGGCTGTCATCAGATAATACCGCGTGGGGGTTTTGTAAGCTGACATTTCCTGTTGCTGGCTTCCATTTCTAAAGGCCAAACCAAACACCATTTGGACTCTTTGGATCTCAGACTGTTTCTGTCTCTCACTCTTCCTCCTCCTGATCCGGCCCTTGGGTCCCCACACCTCTGCCTTTCTGTCTAGTTTATGCATAGGTGCAAAGCTAGGGTGAGCCTGCAGTTACTGCCCTCCACCCAGGCAGAATTACTAAGACCCCACCTCAGAAAACTGAGGCAGCTGGAGGTGTGGTAATGGCGTTGTTCTAAGACCCATAGGGGAAGCCCTGGCTGGAATGCTTCCTGTGAAGTGCCCAAAGTGTTAGATAGAGTTCCTGTTCCCAAGCTCTGCTTCCTGTCCCTTAAAACAGCTCAGCAGAACACCCGAGGTCCTAGAACAGAAGTTAAGAGAATGAACCAGGAAGGATAATTGCCAGACTGATGGGGCCAAGTGTTTCTCATTAGGTTGTTGTGATCGCTACATCCCTGCACCACTGATTGGCGGTATAGAAAAGGTATGGGGATCCTTGGATGTGGGAGCAATTTGCGCCGGCAAAGCTGCTGGGCAGACAGTAGGGACTCCCCTTCTCTTGAACAGGTGGGTGAATGGAGCTCCGGCCTGAGCAAGGCACAGCTGTGTGTGTTTCTCCGTAGCCCTTACCTCCTGCTTTCAGAAATGCACAGAAATGGCAAGGGACATGGCTAAGTCGCTGGAGTGCTCACCCTGTGTGCCTCCCTGGGATCTGTCTCCAGGACTGTATAAACCAGTAATGGTGGTACACACCTGTAATCCCAGCTCTCCAGAGGTGAAGAGCCAAGGGTCAGTAGTTCAAGGTCATCCTCAGTTACATAGTACCTACATTGCCATCCTGAGCTACAGGAGGCCCTGCCTCAGTAAAATAAAACAAGATAGATTTTGGGGAAAAAAAAATCAACTACAGGAAGGTGCTGCGTTGTCTGGATTGTGTCCCTAGCTCCTCCAAGGCCTGTGGCCTCAGTATGAATGTGTCCCCATATGGGCCTTTGCTAGCATTGTTCTGACCAATCCCTTCCTCAAGCAAATCTCAGTTCACTCAAATTTATATAAAACTTAGTTGCTCGTGACCGGTTGATTTTAAATCTTGTCTGGTCCCCAAAACTAACCATCACACCGAGGAATGAGAGCAGAAGAAAATGCGAACCCATACTGGGTGTCTGGGGTGAGGACTTAGATGATGCTCTCGGCTAGGACGAGAGCATGAGCCTTGAAAAGAAGGCTGGGGGGGCAGCATAAGGCTGTGTTGAGTTTGCAAAACATATGGAATGAGTACCCTGAGTTCTGTGGTTGTTTATGTTTGAAAGAACAACCTAGATCATGGCTTTCTCTAGTTTCGCTCCCCCTTAATATTTTTAAAATGAACATGTGTAAAGTTAGTAATAAGACTAAAGACATAATAAAAATATTCACTCCTCTAGCCGCTAATAGGAAGGATGTGAAATTATGGAAAGCTCATTGCTTAGGGTCACTGCTGTACCTCCCAGGGCCCTGCCCAAGCCCTCTCAGACTTCCCCTGTGGTTCATGACAGGGATCAGTCACTAAGGTTGGGGCCTGCCAATTTTTGAGGCTCAACGATTAGCAAACCCTCATTGTTCTCGTGTCCTAAGGGATATTGGCCAATCTGGATTTCCTGGATAATGTTCCTAGCTCTTCTAAGGCCTGTGGCCTCTAATGATCATTTCTTCACATGGCTTTGGCCAGCATAGTTCTGACCAACCCAGCGTAGGGGGAATCTTACTTCTCTCAAATTTGTATAGTCCTTGAAGCCCCCTTCCTGCATGCGACTCTTGGGTCACTTTCTGCTCAGGAAATAAACCCCCATGTTAGCTGATTAATCTCTTCACTGGGGACTTATTTCATAAATGACTCCTGCTTTTTGCCATTTCAGTGTGTCATTCCACCTAAACCAACACAAACCCTGTCACAGCCTTGAATGTCACAGGCACATGAGCAAAGCCAGAGCTCATGAGCTCTGAATCACCCTAGAACAGCCATCATCTTCAAAAGAAACCAAGTGACCTGCAAAGTCTCAGACATACAAATTCCCTACGGCAACAAAAACAAATATCATCTCAATGCATGGAAAAGAAAAAGAGGAAAGGGGGTTCTGAATTGCGTGAGTACCCCTCTACAGGGATATCAGGGTGAAGAGTATTGAGAAAAGATGTCAGATAGTGACCCGTGTGGAAGCTCCAAAACACTCAGTGGAATAATGCTCAACTCTCCTTTTATTTCAGACATGGGTTCTCCATCCCACCCAAACCACACGGGATGTTAAGGTTAGTGTCTATGGCAAGGAGTGACATGAGCTTCCCATGCAGGCAAGACATGTCTGGAAGACTGTCCAGAGAAATTTACCAGAGGAGCAAAGCCTCATCCAAAATGGCTGTACCATCTTGGATCCAGGGCTGGAGAGAGAGAGAGAGAGAAAGAAAGAGAGAGAGAGAGAGAGAGAGAGAGAGAGAGAGAGAGAGAGAGAACTAAGCATGGGCATTTATTGCTTCTTGGTTCTGAACAGAGCCATGCCATCCCTGCCACAATGGGGTTTAACCTTCATCCCAGCCAATACCATCAATCTCTCTAAAGCAGTGTAGACTCTTTGTCTCCCCCAGCCCCAAGGATTCTTCATTATCTTTACTGACCACCACCTAATACAGCCACATGATAGTTATTTCCCTGCTTACTATATACATCAAGACATTTTTTGCTTGGTATGAGCTAAATAAATACCCAAGAGAGAGAAAAGATTTCACCTTAAGAAAATATTGATGGTTTAGATTACATTGCAAATGAAATATTTCCATTTTTTTCAGAAAATAACTTTCATAGCTCAAGTCAGCAAAACCACATCAGGGAAGGAGGTGTTTATAACTCATAGCATCATCAAAGATCTCCCTTATATTTTAGGAAAGTCTCCAGATGTTTGGGTTAAGAGGCAGACGGCCTAATCAACACAGGCACATGACCAATGTGAGAGAGAGAGAGAGAGAGAGAGAGAGAGAGAGAGAGAGAGAGAGAGAGAACAATAGCTAAAACGTTCAGGAAAAGGAACTAAGCGGAGAATCACAACCAAGCTACAACTGGGGAGCACAGAGAAGAATACCCACCCACTGTTGGTGCATTGATCAAATCCACTGTTAGGATATTCAAGGCAGAATCCCTACTCCAACTCCATGTGTGCCTTAGGGGACAGAAGTTCTTTTCTCTGTTCAGCCGGATAAAAATAGGTCTCCAAGGACAAATCTGTCCGTCAACGATAGCCTGGGTGAGGCTGTTGTAGAACTGTGTTCAACAACAAGAAAGCAGCCAGCCGCCTTCCTGTCTCCAAATCTCAGTCCTTGGTGGGTCGGGGAATAAGTCAGATGCAGAGAGCTCACGTGTTGTGATGTCTCCATGCACATCAGAAACCCGACAAAAGTAATGTGTGGTGTGAAAGAGAGAGACAGAGACTTCCTTCTGCAAACAAAGTGAGCCAGAAAATGCAGGGCAAAAACGCTGCTAGGATGTTGGAAACCCTGTGTTTCTACCATGGCTTTCAGCATGGGAGTGAGTGGTCAGAGCTAAAAGATTCCTGGGGCTTCACATCCGTGACTGCACTCAGTTCTACCTTCGTATTTCCTTTAACCAACACCTTTGAGATTGTCATGGAAAGTGTGTGGACCCAGGCCACTGTAGATGACGGAACTTGACTAACATAGCCTCCCAGCAGTAGCGATAAATGCCTGTTTCCTTAGGGAGGTCACCGACGAAAGACCAGAGGAACAATTCCATCCACGTTCAGCTTCACGAACCAGGAGATGTTTCTGAGGTCACTCATAGGATCACAGGTGAGAGTTGACTACAGGGACCCAAGTAACTCAAAAGCAGTCGCATTGCTGAACAGTTTCCCCAGCGTGGGTTCTGACCACCACGGCCCTGAGTTGCAGTATGGAGTCCTGCCTTTAGTCATACACTGCAGCATCTCCCAAGAGCATTTTGAGCTGGGAGGAGGGAGTAGTGCCCAGAATTTTAGATAAGTTCTGACAAATCAACTTTTTTCTCCACCTACAGCTAGTGTTAGCAGACCATTATGTTTCCTGTGTGTTTTTCCACCTCTCTGTTTCTTGTTTTAGAGCCAAGGCTGTGGGACTGTGGAGCCCCAAAGCCATCTCAGCTTCCTGGTGGAGACAGCCGTGCTATGCCCTGAGAAAGCCACCCCCAGCACATGCCTAAGACCAGAAATTCTGTGCTTGCCTCTCCTTAGCCCTTACCCGATTTGGGTCATTCCTACTGATTTGTTGTTTTTATAGATACACTATGCAGCAAGCCTTTCCAGTGTCTCTCTGGGAACCTCTGTATTTTCCAGCATGTGTTGCCATCAGGAGAAGCCCGTGCATAGCGGCTGTCAAAATTTTTCTTTCCCATCCCCATCACCCCGAAAAGGAAGGTGTCTATAACCCATGGAAAGTTTGGTGCTCACCTAACCCAACTCCGAAACCCATATTCTCAGGGTGTCAGTCACTGATCTTACTGATAAACTTTAGTGGGCTTCACAGTACTATGGTACCAATTAAAATTGTAGTGATAGTCTTATGGCTATTTCTCTTTTCCCTATGCTAAAATAAGAAAAGACATTTTGATACATAATTAGTATGATACTAATCAAAATGAAAAGATAGGGCTGAAAAGATGCTTGGTGGTTAGGAGCCAGGGCGGAGTTCCCAACTACACCTACACCGATACAGTGTAGTTACAAATGCCTCCAAGTGCAGCTCCAGGTAACGTGTTCTTCTGGTCTTCATTGGTGCATACACACATGTGCACATACACTAACACAAGCATACTCTCACACACACATAACTAAAATAAATCTTTGTAAGATAAGAAAAAGACAGGAAATGAGCAAAATTCCAATCAAGTATGGTGACATATGCTTATAATGCCAGTGCAGGGGAGAGGTGGAGGCAGGAGCAACACTGTGAGACCGAGGGTAGCCTGGGCTATAAGTCCGGGCATGGCTGTATAACTACACAGCCAGACCTCATCTCAAAATCCCAAGCCAAACAACCCCCACCAAGAATGTATAAAATTAAAACCATTGTGATTTTAAAAAATGTGTAAGAACTTATTCTGAATGGAAATTGATAAACATGGCTAATAAACAGGGCTAATAAATAATAATCTCACTTGTTAAGGTGAAAACTGAATAATAAAAAACTTACCCTTTTATTTACAACTGATTAAAAGGAAGAAACTCTTATTTAATTACCCTTCTCTTATGAAAGGAGTTAATTTTTCGTGATTGTCAAAGACTTATATCAAAAACATTATTTACTAAATTAGAATGTATTAGTTGGGGCTGGAGAGATGGCTCAGAAGTTAATAGTTCTCACTGTTCTTCCAAGGACCCAGTGTCCCCTTCTGGCCTCTGTGGGCATCTACACACACAGGACATACATTCACATGGACACACACACAAGCAAAAGAGAAGTAAATATTTAAAAGAAAAACAACAAAAAAATACATGTCCCCGTGGTAAACTTTCCAAATATATAAAAGTAATTCAGGTTGAAAATTACAGAATTCCAGCTGTCAAACCCAGAAACAGAATTCAAGGGCTGAGAAAATCAGAAATCTTAGCAGCAGGTGGGGATCAAACATTTCTGGTTGTATAAACCGTGTTTATCTGTAGAGCCCTGTGAAGACTTCCCTTCAGACTGAGTCTCACCTGGCTTTGGTTCCAAATCAGCCTGACGCTTGCACAGGTCAACAAGAGTTTTGCCAAGGTTCATGAACTTCCATCAGATACGGGCTGAGATTTCTAATTTTTTTTTTAACTTGGGCCATTCAATAACTTTAACCATGTTTAAACTAGATCCCCTTTCAAATGAAGAGCTTCAGGAGAAAGACGGAGGGAGAGACGTGCAACCACTCTTGGATTTTGTAAAGGAAACTTGCTCCTTTTTTTTCTTCTCATCTCCTTTTAAAGTTTCAAAGAAAATTCGTCAGAGCAATAAATAATAAATGGATAGATAATAGATAAATAAATCCAACTTAGTCTGAGTCTAATAGTGCCTTTTTTTCTCTATAGAAGACTCACCAGAATTTATATGACCAGCAAAGTTAGTTTTAATGCAAAACCAGCTTGTATTGCCAAAGCAATGCAGATATTTACTGCTGTCTTATTGTTCAAAGTGTCTTATGTGTATTATATAACTTATTTTTGCAATTACTGTGTATTATATGATTTATTTTATTTCTTTTGTAACCCCCTTACAGACTAAGCCAAGCTTCGTCAGTCACAGCAGGGGCCAGAGACACAGGTCTGGGCTCCATGGGCTCCAGTCTCTGGAATGTGTGCAGAGACCTCCACTCAGGTGAAGCCAGGACTCCTGACTGCATGACAGGAAAGACTCTCAGAGTTGATGTGAAGCAGTGTTGGGTTTATTAGGAAGATATTTTAACATTGGATTGAGCAATAGGTCTTAAGGAAGAGGGAGGGAAGAGAGAGAAGGGAAGGAGGGAGGGAGAAAAAGAGAGAGAGAGAGAGAGAGAGAGAGAGAGAGAGAGAGAGAGAACTGGCTGGCTGAGGTCTTTTCAAGAGGTAGCTTTTAAAAGCTATATATTTTGGTGTTCTGACTCTGCGTTGTTCAAGGCATTTCTATGGACCTCCCCGCCTTCTTTTGCCTTTTTAGTGAAGTCAGAGGGTGCATCTGTAGTTCACAGTAGAGGAAATCCTCACTGTCTCAAGTGGTTGTGGGGTGGGCAATATGGATGTCGAGAGCCGAACTTGGGTCCCCGGAAGAGCAGAAAGAACTCTTAATGACTGGCTCCAATCTTAAAATTTTGTAACATTCTATTGCAAATAAGACTTGTAGACTTTCCCAGGTGATGTAAATAATCTAGTTGTCCTGTCAAAGATGGGCTAATTCACATGACACAGCAGGCTCGTGTGACTTGGCCACCATGTTGAATGCACATGTGACTGGAACCTTAGAGTCTGCCAGGAAGACCTGGAGGAAAGAAATAGAGTCACTGGTTACAGCTTTCTCCTTAGTGAGGCTACTATCCATCGTCATGGCCGCCCAAACCCAAGGTTCTAGAAGGTTTCCAGTAAGAAAATGACACCGTTTGCTATGGAAGTCAAAGCAACTGCACGGAAGGCTGGATCTGTGAAGCAGACCCTCGACTGTTTATCGTATACACATTCCATTGTTCATGGTTTCCCGGCCTCTTTGTAGCACAGCTCTGACAACTGTCCATCAACAGCAGGGAGGCGACACAGGGGGGGACAATCCAAGTGCAGAACCATTATTCAAATAGTGGAAAGTGTGTCTGTTCGGGTGACCATATACAATCTGTATAGCTTTTAATAGGGAAATACAATAGCTCTTGATTATGCCAAGACTATGAATAACGACATTGTTTAAAGTCTTGGCAGAAATACATAGAGGAGTAATTAATGTATGGAAAATAACAATTGCAGGGAGTCTAATTGTATAATCAAATTAATAATGGAATTCCACAACCTCGGGAGCTCCCCCTCTCCTCATTCATTCACTTACCCTGCTGCTTTTGGTAGAAGTATCATGTTTTTCTGACCCGTCCTCCGTCCCATAAGTCTTGGGATATAATTGAAACCTGAGCTTCGCCAGGACAAGAAACAGTGTTAAAAAGTTCTGTTCTTTATGGCGGTCCAGTGGCTTAGCCTTTACCCAGGGGGCTTTGCGTTAAGTTCATAATGCTACACTCACAAAGCTTCCCTTGGTTTAAATAGTGTGAGAATAGCCTGCATGCAGTGCACACTGGAGACAGAGGCTGTCATTCATATGTTCTGTCAATTTGTGTGTGTGTTGGTACTTTTTAAAGTGATTTATTTTGCTTTCACATATATGTATCTGTGTGTGTCCATGCCCGTGCAAGCCAGAGATGTCAGAATCCCTGAAGCTGGGGTTACAGGCAGTTGTTAACTTCCTGATATATGTGCTGGCAACCAAACTCTGGTCCCCTTTAAGAACAGTAGGCTCTCATAACTGCTGAACCATCTCTTCAGACCCCAGGTATGTTAAGATCTCTTTGTCGGTTAAATCTGAAAACAGACCAATCAACAAACAGAGATTTTGGGTCCCATTATAGTCACTTGACCTCCTGAACTTTGGACAACATAAACAAGTTAGGGCCAGTGATGTTGTTGCGACCTATCGCAAGTACTGAGCATATATCCTTATGCCACGACTCCTGTGCCAACACCGTACAAATGCTCTCTGTGTAAATATGACACATTCAGCTCACGGAAGGAGCCAGAGTGTCAGGGAGGTGTTCACCAGAAGGTTGCGACACTTGGCCCCCTGACTGTGGTTTTATTTGGATTCTCTTAGCAACAGCTTATGGTTTGCTTAAGATGAATAGTTTTCAGGAGACTGACATGGAACTGACTTAGTACAGAATGTGTCTTGTGTTAGTTAAACTCCAAAGGATTAATCCTGCTAGCTTTCATAAATAACACCTGCTCAAGCCTGCTGGCGTTGTCTGTCCACATGGAACGCACCAGTGCAAATCCTGGCAGAACTGACAGACTGAATAAGCAAAACCACATAATATTTAATTCTTTTTTTTTTAAAAAAAAAAACCCTGTTGTTCTTCTTTTGATAATTTGGAAATTAACCCCCAAACAGCCATTTTCAAGCAATTGTGCAATCACTCGATTTTATGCCACTGTAGAAAAAGAGCATGCAATATTGACTCTCTAGTCTGAGTTTCCCAGTATCTTCTATGGGGATTTAAGAGTTTTCCAGAATGTCTCTGGATATTAGCAACAAGTACATTGCTGACAATCGGCGTAGGGTCAAGGGACTTGGCAGGCTCAGCAGGTAACTTTCTCAAGTTCATGTGGTCGGTAGATTGCAAAGTCGGCTGCACTCTGTACCATGCGCAGCAGCCCACTTCTCTCTGCTGCTCTGCTTTGCAGGCAATTCCAGTGGCAGGCATGCTTCCCTTGCAGGAACCTGAACTGGTGGGCATGCGGCCTGTTTTGACCCAGGCTATCTTTCTGTGTGCCCTTCTGGCTGTCTCTGTCCTGTTTCCCTCTCTCCCGTCCTGCTCTGTCTCCCTCCCCAACAGGTTTAAGCTAGTCTGAGGAAGAACTATAAATCCTCTGGAGTATAGCCCTGGCTCCCTGGCCTGGGACTCTATCTGCCAGTCAACCCAGCTTCCTAAAGACACCTCAGCAAGCCGGATAGTATCTGTGGAGATAAGCTGAGCCGAGCATCGCTGCTCGGCTGACTAATGAGCTCAGGAGAAACAATAAATTGCTGTTTCAAGTCATCAGGTTTTGAGGTGAAGTAAGTCTCTCTCTCTCTCTCTCTCTCTCTCTCTCTCTCTCTCTGTGTGTGTGTGTGTGTGTGTCTGTGTCTGTGTGTGTTCTCAGTAGAGCATTTTTTTGGGAGGGGGAAGTGGCTTGACTGCTTCTGTGAGATACTGGAATTCTTGAGGGAGGATAGGCCTTCACCCAGCTACCCTATAGGACCCACATGAGGAGCAAATGAGGCCTCTGTGCATTTAAAAGCAGCCTCCCAAGCAGGTAGTATGCAAAAACTGAGAAAATGTACTTTTTTTTTTTTTTTTGCTATTGTTTTAACAGCTCACTGGGCCAATGGCGCACGGATGTCCGTGAGGACACAACACTAAGAACTTGCTTAGGGAAGTCGCTAAACAAACATGGACGACCAAAGCAGCAGCATCAGAACACAGGCAGCTCCGAGAACTTGACGTATGAGCAACATCTGATATCCAGAGCCATCACACTCTAAAATTCAAAATGTCTGGGTTTTGTAAAATTTGCTTTTATTTGCGTGTGTGTGCATGCACACGATGGTGTGTGTGTGGATACTAGTGGAGGCCAGAAGAGAACGGTGGATCTCCTGAAGGGTGTTACAGGCAGTTGTGAGTCACACTATGTGGGGTCTGGGAACAAAAATGGCGGCCTTTGCAAGAGCAGCAAGTACTCTTAAATGCCAGCCATCTCTCCAGCAACCAAAATGTCTAGTTTCCATCAAAAGTTATTAGGCATATGACAACAGAAACAGAAAGCTTGGTCTCTTCACAGGGAAAAAGAAATCAGTAGGAGACATTCATGAAGAGATTTGACCGTAGCACAACGCCTGCTCTATGTGCTATGTGCTACAGTTTGCGAGTCAGGAAAGGACCTGGAGATACACACACACACACACACACACACACACACACAGAGAGAGAGAGAGAGAGAGAGAGAGAGAGCCAAGAATGCCCAAAATGCTCTCTTTATTGTGTTCCAGGGCAGCTTATATAGGGTCTCTTTGACTAATGCCCATGCCCTAACTCTCAGCTGCAAACCCACCAGAAACCACTCCCCAGACATCAGGAGCTTTTGAGAGTTTCGTGCTCAGAGCAGCTGCAAGCACAGGAAAACCAGTTGTTTACTCCAGCAGGCAGGGGTCACAGGAAATTCAGGGTCTGGGGATCCACTGTCCCCAACACTTGACCATGGAATGAAGCAGTAGTCAAATACATTGAATATGTTCAAAGATATGTGAAAAGCATGGGTGAAAAATGAAACTAAGAGGTCAGTGTTAATAAAAGAGTGTGATGGGAATTACTGACTCTCAGCTTGATGGGACCTACAGTTGCCCAGGAGACTAACCTCTGGGCATAACTCGAGCTGTTTTCCAAATTAGGTTGACTTCTGGGCACACCTGTGAGCAATCATCTCCATTAGATTGATTGAGGTTGGAAGAGCCAACTAACAGTGGGTGACACCGCTTCCGGGGCTTGGGTTCTAGTCTGTACAGAGGAGAGCTTGAGCTAAACACCTCGATTCGTCCCCCTGTTTCCTGGCTGTGGATGTGCTGCAACAGTGGCCCCATGCCCCCTCTGCCATGGTGAAGATACCCGCGGGAGAATATAAAGAGATTGGGGGATTCTGTACTGATTGTACATTTTATGTTTGTATATCTCATAAAGCTAAGTGCCATGGACATTAAAGGAGCTTCTGCCAGCCAATGTTTGTCTCTGACCACATGTTTCCATTGAGCCAACATGTTTCATCCATGCTAGAGCATGAGCAACATTTATCATGGATAAACTGCATAAGATCTCAGATCTGCCTGGAAAGCTTTCTTATCCCAATAACTCTGATGTCAGCATGGGGCTTTGAGGAAAGATTTTGAGAAACACAGAAGCATAATTTAAAAAAACTTGAAGGTGGCAGCAGGTTATTACACAAATACTTCATTTCTCTCAGTAGAAATGGTCTCCCCCATGGATTTCAGAGCAGAGTAACTCAGAACCATAGCCTTTGATCAAGAACAACCTAACCAATAATATTTTTAAAAAACAATTTTTAAAATCTATATTAATAGCATAAAGATTCCAATTATTTTAAATAGCTTCTTTAATTCCTAAAGAAGCAGAAGGAATTTTAAACCAAAATGTAAAGACAATAACTTAAAGCATTAACTAGAATTAATTCACAATTTGACTAGATCAAAACTTTTCCCTCCTCAGGTGCCTTCAGATGACTCACATCCCAGTGTCAGCCACAGTATCTCTGGTCCAAGTCACTGAGGGATAGGGAAGTATTCTCCAGGTGCTCAAAGTGATTCATAAACCCTTGATGTGGGAACTCCTTCTGTATATGTGTTGCTTTTATTGGTTAATGAATAAAGAAACCACTTTGCCTGTGATAAGAGTAGAGTCAGGTGAGAAAACTAAACTGAATGCTGGAAGAAAGAAGGCAGAGTCATTGAGAAGCCATGTAACTTCACAGGAGACAGACACACCAGAACTTTGCTGGTAAGCCGTAGCCACATGGCAATACACAGGTTAAAGGAATGGGCTAAGTTAAAATGTAAGAGTTAGCCAGAAATTCGCTTAAGCTATTGGCCAAAGAGTATTGCAATTAATATAGATTTCAAGTCAACAAATGAGCAGCCTCTGGGAAACAGACCCTGTGAATAGAACCTTGTAAAAGCCATGCCCTGAGGAAGACACAGTGTCTCCCATAAGCCCTTCTTGGAAGGAATCTACAATTCTGCCTCAATCTGAAAAACGAAGCAAAACTAAAATAAGAACAGTGTTGAAAATGTTCAGTTGCTCACTTGAAATTTTTGTGCAATACTATTTTGGGTGTTTATTCAAAACACTGTTAATTTCTTCTTGCCAGGAAATGAGAACAGCTATCAGGTCTGCGCCGGAGGGTGAGTCCACAGAGCTCAGAGAGCCCTCCCTGGGGCCTTTCTGTGTGCAAAGGCCATCACTTGAAGAAAATGTCTTACGGGATATGGAGGTGTGGCACAAAATTTAAATACAAAACTCCATTCATCTAGAAATCAATTTGGTACAATAATATGGAAAGTTCTCTTGAGTTTCAAAGGTTTCAAAGAAATGTTCATTGTTGTTTCTAATCTTAGTAGTTTGGGTTTTTTTTAATTGACTTCTTCAGGCTCTGTCACACAGAGTCAGATGCTACATCAGTCTAGCACTATCAGGAAAAGTATAGATAAAGGGTTAAGGAGTCCTTCTGCGTCTTCACAGGGTCATTTGAGAGATGCAAGCAATTCCCCCTTTTGGCCTGAATAAAATGCAGTTAGTTCATAACCATTGTCAGATGGACAGCAGTAAGGAGGCCTGGTGTGTCTCAGTCCATAGAGCACAGAGTATATGCTTAGCATGTGTGAAGCCCAGGTTTTATCACCAACATATAAACCAGCCATGAGGGTGCATACCTATAATCCCAGGACTCGGGAGGTAGAGGCAGTAGGATCAGGAGTTCAAGGTCATTCTTGAACTATAAAAAAATACAAATGCAATAAAATATAAAGCGGGTTGAGTTTGGGGATAATTTCCTTGCTAAAGTCTCTGGTGAGAGTTCAAGTAATCATTTTAAGGGGTGGGGGAATGCAGTTTTGCAATGTTTGTGCTGCTTCTCAGAAAATGTTCTGCTGTTAGAATCTGCTCTAGGCTCTCCCCTCTGAATGTCCGAGTAGCCTGAGATTGATTGATAGTAATCAGAATACAAGAGTTCATTTTCCCTGTCAGTACCAGAGCCAAATGGCAGAGAAGACCTTGGCCTCTAAGCTGGGGTTTATTCAGAGATCAGGCAATCTGGGAAGAGAAACTTTCTTAACACTCCAGCAGATCAGTATTCCTTTCCTGTCTCACCTCTGGCTAGCATCTCTACAGGACTCTGAACCAAGGCTGTCAATCAATCCAAAGTTTGGTCTTAGCCTTCTGGCCATGTGGAGAGCCTTGTCTCTGAGGTTTGTGGTGCTGTTGTTTCGCTCAGTGTCTCCTGGACTTTTCCTTCATTATTGTCCCTTTCTGTACAGCAGAAGTTTACTTCCTCCAAAAGCTTCTGAGTCTTGAATTCTTGCCACGATAGCACCTAGGTTGCATCTCAGTTAGAGGCTAACTCAGAGCAAGCCAACTATGCCTGTGTGTATAGATTTCTTTCTATAACAAGGAGCACAAACACACTCTTAAAGGATGAAAATGCCTCCGTCTTATGTCTCCTCCCATTCTGTGCCGTGATGTCCACAAGCAAGCTTAGTAAATTATTGCTGATTCACGCACTGTTACAGTAGGAAGGTCCTGTCATCTTCTCTGACTCAACAGGGAGCAACAGACCCAGTTCTGTCTCAGGTCTATGTTAGGACCAGTGTGTCCTGTTCATGGTGGCTGTCAAGAAGAATTTGGCAGGTTTAGAAAGAGCAGAACAGTGGGCAGGAGATATGTAAGTGACCATTGCTGTTATAAATACCAAGGCAAGAAGGGAGCATTCTAGAAACTCTGCTGATGAGACCACACTAAGCATCTCCCCAGACTCAGACCTCCCCGTTCAATACCTAGCACTTTAACAAGTTATGGCAGATCCCTGGGAGACGCTGGAAGATCTAACTTCCTTGTGACTTGGAGTTAAGTATTAAACAAGATGTTGCCTCCTGAGGTCAGGCTCTCAGGACCGGTGTTGGCCCTCAGCCAGGCTGCCCTTCTGCCTGTGTTTATCTCCTTCCCCATGGTGCCTTAGCTAACCCCAGGTCACAGCTTGTTAAGGCTGCGGGGCTTGTCTGCAGCTGCTGCACGAAGTTCAAGGGTTCATGCCCAAAAGAGACAGTCCAGAAACGACACACTGCTCACCGACCGTCTGCTGGTGTACAGGCCATACACCTAAAATGTTTAACTGATTTATTTTTATAATCATTTCTGTTTACCTTGGAAGAAACACTCTACACTATAAAGTTATATAAACTGACTCTTCTTAAATACTCAGAGACTCCGCACTTCTGTGATCATAAAACGATTTTCACTTTAGAAGCGGTATTAACCACTTACTGATGTACTGGTCTCTTCTAGAAAGCATTTAAATAGCTTAATCCTTTACAACAATACTGTGAGGTACACACATCGGTCACCCCCTTTTCACACCTGGGGAAGCAGGGGAGCAGAATGGTAAAGTCTCTTGTTCATGGTCATAAAGCTTCCAAGTGGTAAAATTTCTCAGTAAAACTTATAAATACTATTTAATCTTATTAAGACATCTCAGAGGCTGGGGCTCACCGTGATGCCCAGGCTAACTTAACTCTATATTCTCCTGCCTCCTCTCCTGGCTCTAGAGAGTCAGGATTCCAGGAATATGCCCCTAGACAAGGCAAGAACTTCTTAATACTGCCGGCGACCCTCAAGAATTCTATAGCTCCAACTTAGAATTAACTAAAATCCTGGGCTAGATAGCACCACCAGGGAGAGACCAAGCTATTTGAAATATAATATTTAATGATCATTTAACATTTTCTTCTAGACATTTTGTACACATGAAACAGTTTAATCTTCCCAATAATCAAGTAAACTTGATCTCATTAAAATCTCCATCTTGTAAGGAAAAAATTTATCAAGGAGATATTAAATGATGTACCCCAAACCACACAGTTTTGAATGGCATCGATGGAGCTTGGACAAAGCAGTTTGATTTAGGTTTCTTTCCTTAGCCACTATAGTCACTGGGCACTTTCTAAATCACGAAGGCACTTAAGCCCTCCTCCAGCTCTGGGTGTACCATGCCCACTCCTAGATGCTCTTTTGTCAGCATTTTATGATGTTGGCAGCTCTGACTAAACATTCTACTTCCAGTGTCTAACAAACTCCTTGCGGTCCAGGAAACAGCCAAGAAGCAGTCACGTGAAGACCACCTGATCATTTCCTGTGACGCACACTGAGACACTCCACACACTGGTGGCACCTCAGTGAGCTACTTTTAAATTCATCCGAAGTCTGTTACTTCGTCTTTAGATGGGTTTTTGTAAAAACAGTGACTGGCTTTCCTGTCAGCGAGTTCCCCACCCCCTCATTTCTTGTCCTGTCTTGACGCTGTATCCATTGGGCAGGAAGTATTCAGAAATTCCACTGTCCTCGTGAAATCCGGTTCAATCACAAATTTAGAAAATTCATGGCATTCACCCTAGAATTTGAGGACCAAAGATCAAGATTATTGAAGTAACAGCTGCTCCCATGGGTTGTTTGTGCTTTCTGGACAGCAACTTTTCACTTCTCTTTTAAGGCATTATTTTAGAAGCAGAGATTTGGAAATTTCACAGGATTCACTGGCAAAACACATCATTTAAGCTGCGGGCTTGGAGAAGCTGTAGTAAGGCCAGTGTTAAAGACTCAAGACTGTAAGACAGTTTAGACAAGGCTTCCACCAGCAGCCAAATGTTCTGAAGCAGAATTCCAGAGCTGTTTACAATATTATTTAGCATAGAGATAGCTCTTTGTGAACGGTAACCATTAATCACTGGCATCCTCCGTTTTGGATGGTGCTTTAAGATTTCTGGAGAGGTGAAAGGGGCATTCAAGCTCACAGCCCGAGTTTCTTCTTCAGTTGGATTGATGCATGCAGGTTTTCTGAGTCAATCCCTATCATATTCCGCAAGACAGGACCCGATTTCTGTGCCAATTTTTTTTTATGTAACAGCTTGAATACACAGTGTCTTTTAAGGTCTGCTTGC